GCGTATTAGGTGTACCGAAGTCTTAATTAAGTACCCTCACCCCGTCTATTAAAATCCTCTCTCGTTTCATGTCTTGTGCTTCTTTAACTTATTTTTAACTCAATGTGTTCTTTTTGTCATAGATCGAACACGCCGAATAAAAAATCTCGATGTAATTCACCTCAAAGAGATCCCTACAGTAACTTTCGTTCATCATTTTTCACCCACTTCACCAAAGGCATTTAATTTGCCGATCCAAGCCATTAATTTCCTCGTCCTCTTTTTTAGAAATGCCAGATCATAATTCATAAGCGATGCTGATCTTCTCTCTTAATGGGTACAGTCGTACAGACATGTCATTTGGAAGCTTGATGGACAAACCTTTGACCCACACACAATTGTAAATGACAACTGGATAATAACGTTTTCCCAAATTTTAATCAAATTAATTAATATACGTTTTAATTCATGTCGCCAAAGATTCAAAAGTTCATTCCCTTCCCCTTCCGTTTTTGATCTGTACGTGCAATTCTTGCTTTCGATATTTTATGTTTTTTTTTCTTTTCATCAAAGATATTTTATGGTATTCATAACAAAAAAAAAAGATATTTTATGCTTAATACCGATTAACTTATCGGGATTAATGGTTTTAATTTGCTTCCTGGATGGACATGCATTGAGTTGATTACAATTTTCAAATGCAAGGCAACTCACATCACACCCAGGGTGGACCTAGGTGAGGTGGAGGAGATGTGTCATAATTGGTGAAAAATTCATGGGTAATCAATATAAAAACTAGTTTTGACCCAGTCCATTGGCCGGATTGCTTTACTAATTATGGAATGGGGGAGAGAGATAGAGCAGAAAAACATTTATTTGGGTCGAACCCACAATTTGAATCTATTTGAGTTCATATAATTATACCTATAAAGAAATATCGATCATCTAGCTATTCACATTAAACCAATTCACACATTCATTATCGGTGTTTCCACATTTACGTTTGTTATAAAAAAAATGCAAAAATTACATTAGAGCTGATTTTTTTTTTGTAACCAATGTAATAGGTCTTATTTAGACTCAAACTAAATAATCGTTTATTTGTATGGCCTTCAAGTGATATTACCAAATATGATTTGACTGGTAATAAATTGGGTTAGGGAAGGATTTTTTTTTTTTTTTTTTGCAATTCACAGTAGAGGGAGTTTTTTAGGCCACGTTTGGCATTAGTTGTTCATTCACCACCACATCCAACGCTAAGGTATCACTTTCCCAATAAGACTTTTTAATTTACTGCGAAATGAGATGACCTAAATTCCTTCAGTTTTGGGTTTCAAAATAGTAAATTTGCAATCACTTATTTACATAGTTTCCATATCCTACTTTTAAATGTTTGAGATTTAAATTTTCTTCATCTAAAGTTCATAACAAAATATGAACCTGTAAACATTAGGAGAGGTGAGTGAACAACTAAAGATCACAATGATTGTAGCTTTAGTGGTATGGAGGTATATTTGAGCTCATAAATCAATTAATTGCATCTCATCTTTCATTGAAAACTAAGCGAAATTTAGGGAGTCATTCATTGTTAATCAGTCTAATTTGTTATGACCAAGGTTGTCACGATTCCACCAATGAGTCGTTTAAGCAAGTCGGTTAATGATTAATGGATGAATTGGATTAACCTGGTTAAGCCTAGCTTTACCCAGGTGCATGAAAATTTTATTGATTTCACATGTATTATGCTTAGATATTTATGAAATTTCTATGATAAATTTAGATACAATGACGATTTAATATAACTTATTCGTTGAAATTGAGTTTCATTTTTATACTTTTCTCTCACTTGGAACTGATGTTTTAAAATGACGATTTAATTCTAAATCTCTTCCCTCTTTCTTTTTATCTTTTTCCATTTCATTTTCTAGTTTTTTCTTTTCTTCTTTTCATTGCATATCATATTCCATTCTCAATGTTCTTACTCTTCTTCTCCAATTCGATTTCATGTATATATACAAATGAGGATGTTGGTCTTTGTTAATCACACCAAGTCTCAATCCAAATATATGTTCGTCTAATCTTGTGGCTTATTCTTTGTTTGAGATGTGGTTGATTGGCGATGTGACATTGTTCCTGGAAGGAAAATAGAATTGACTACTGAGCAACTGTGTTGGCTTTTGAGATGATTGGGACTTGTATTGTTGTCTGCCGATACTAAAGGAGGAAAAGATATTAAGGAATAACCGAACACGGGTGGTTGATGTATGTTGTTGCATGGGTGTTTGATAAGGAAAAGGACAACATGTCAAACAGAGCTAGTGATTAGATTTGTTGAAAATGATGTCGGTTTGAAGTGACTCGGTGCTTCGATGAGTTAGTTGAATCAACTCGATTTCCTAATTCAATTGGTTTTCTTAGTTTGACCAAGTTTGGGTTGATAACCAATTGGGCCTCCAACATCCTAACAAATACTCGGGTTTAGGCAAAACTGATTCGCCCTACCATGTCAAACTTGGGTTGACAATCAGGCTTATGATTCTTGTCTTTTTTGGAAGATACATTGGTTCAAATTCCAATACTTGTTTACTTTCTACAAATAAATAAGTTTAATAATTGTGAAGGCAAATATACCACTCATACTTTCGCTCTCGTTGTAGGAATTTGAATTGGGAAATTACTTTTCTCATTCCGCTCTTATATATTGTATTGTGTTTAGACGTAGACATATGTCATTGCCATAGAAATTCATTAACATGTCAAAAAATGGTGAAATGAACCAATAATTAAACTCAATCTCGTACAATGATCATTGGATCTAATCATGCCAGATTAAGAACATGTTGAAAGCTTAGCAGTTAACTCAGCTAAAACGTTAAAAAAACCAGTCCCATATAGTCTGCATAAGGATATGATTTCTTCATAGTTAATTATAAAAATTAATACTAATTTAAAATTTTATCATTGCTTCGACCTATTTAATACTCTTAGTTTATATGCAATATTCAACCAAGTGATATATGGGTTGCAATGTTAAAGTCATCCTCTGTTTATAATATAAATTGAAATATAAATTAATTATTAAAATACAATAAAAATAATAAATAATATGAAAGTCGAAGGTCAAATCACCAAATAAGTACTTATGAGAGATTTAGTTGCTAGCTAACCGCTGAAAGGGTCTTCTGATTTTTGAGATATTAGGTATGTGTATGTTTTTCTTTTAAAAGATACAACAAATATATGTAGTGTGATTGGTTGTAGCCAATGTAGTCAAAATCGCGCTTTGAAACTTAAAAACTTACGATTTTACGTTTCTAGATCACTAGAACGCTTCTACACAAAATCTCAGTTTTTATAACTTTTGTAGTTAAAAACTCCGTTTTGTGAAGGGGATGACCATGGTTCAAATCCTCATATGTATATATTTTTATGAATAAATAAGAAAGAAATAAGTAGTTGTGATTTGTGAAGACAAAAATGTCCTTCCTACTTTTACTCTCGATGCAGAAAATTTGAGCAATGGGTTTTGACTTTCACTTTTAATAATATGTGTTCATTTGGAATCTTAATATTTGACCCAACTTTACAATTTTAAACTGACTGTTTGCAACTTCAAGCGGTTAAATTGTTTCTTTCACAATGAATGTAATAAAAAGTAAAAACAATCATCAAAATCATATTAGTAGCTAGTTTATCAAACGATTTTGTGGTTCTACACATTAAAAATTATTTGAATTGAAAAATAAGCAATGATTATATCACACAAACATTTCAGAATATAAAAAGGTTGTTGTGAGCTGCTTCAAAGACATGTAGTGTGATGTTTTGTTACCCACATATACAGATAAGGTAATAAGTGTGCAAACTACATAGCGAGTAGAGGGCATTCTATGTCCTTGGGTACTCATGTCATGTTTTCCCTCTTTCCGATTCCATTTTGTGTAACTGGACTATTGGACTATGTACGATTGTAATGGAATCCGAACTACGGGTGGTTTTGAATGAAAAGTAGGGTGCAAGTTGCATCCATTTGATAAAAAAAGGTTGTTGTAGCTCGGTGTGAAAAACAATCAAATTATATACTCTATGTATTAGAATTTATTGTAACTATTTAATTTTGATTATTCTCTTGATTTTTATAAACTGAAACACATCTCCAAAAAATTTAGATCGCTTACTTATTATCAAAGATTGTAAAATCGAGGTAGGATGCAGTTGCAACCATTCGATAAAAAAAAAGAATTGTAAAATCGTACCGAAAATTGTAACAGAAAAATTCACCACTAGAGTACTTTATACTAAAACCGTAATTTAAATATAATTCAACTCGTACTTCGAAATTTCTTCAATAAAACCATCAATACAATATGATTTTACAAACACGACTTATCGAACCAAGTCATCCTTGCATGTTTTTTTTCAAAGATGAATACACTTCTTTCTACTTTGGTTAACAATACAAATCATTGCCGTCTCTAAACAAAATGTTACCATTTGGCCATTAAAAAAAAAAAGAAAATTACCAATGGCTAATTTAGCCAGAAACGACACGATGAGTATTTTGTAGTAGTGAGAAAAGAGTAGTAAGTGGTACACAAAAGACAACCTGTATTCCAACACCATACAGCCTGGCATTGTCCTCTCCCCACTGCTCTCTCTTCTGTTCTATTGCATCGCATTTGCCCCAACACCTTCTTCTTTCTTCTTCATCACATCTCTCCACCATAATAATCTTATTATTATTACACCCCAAAAAAAAAAAAAAACTCCAATTTTCCTATCCCAAAACACGACAAATTGTCATTTTCCTACGTGGCACCCACGGCACATCTCACGAGGCATCTCCTTCCATTTCCTCTCCCCCTATATAACCTCCCCTTCCATTTCTCCACGCTCTCGCCATCCCTTCCCCCTTCTCCGATCCAAACCCAGTAATCGGTTTAATTTCCTTGACCGAAATAAACAAGATCCCATCATTCAGATTCCGGTAAAGTTTCCATCTTTATCGATTCCGATACGAAATGGGTAACTGCCGATCCTGCGATTCCACACGCGTCGCCGGCGGCGGCGCGTCGACGGCGAAGCTGATCCTCCAGGACGGCGGGCTCCAGGAGTTCTCTTATCCGGTCAAGGCTTCGTTCGTCTTGCGGATGATTGATACCCACGCGCCGCACTTCATATGCAACGCCGACGAGATGGAGTTCGACGACGTCGTATTGGCCGTCGACGATGAGGAGGAGCTGCAGCCCGGGCAGCTCTACTTCGCCCTCCCCGTTGCCTGGCTCCGGCACCCTCTGCAGCCGGAGGAAATGGCCGCATTGGCGGTGAAGGCCAGCTCCGCATTGATGAAGACCTCCGCCGCCGCCGCCGCCGGCGGCGGCGGCGGCGATAAATCTGGGTGTCGACGGAAATCGACGGAGTTGTTGTTTTCCGGGGAGAGTGATGTCGGGAAGCACCGGCGGAGAGCGTCTGCCGGCGACGGTGGCGCCGCCGGTGGGGGAAGGAGTAGGAGACGGGGGAGCAGCGGTAGTGAGAAGAAGTTTGCGGCGATGTTGAGCGCTATACCGGAGTGAGCCGAGGGTAGTTTGGGAATGACAATGAGTGTAAATATATTAGAAGGAAGATTCCATGGAAAATGAATCCCTCTCTTGGTGGAGGATGTCACCCATTTAAGGGTTGTATTACAATTTTACCCCTAGATGAGTTGATGATAACGAGGTTTCTGTTCAAAAAGAATTCATATGATGGTCGTGTTGGTGATAAACTGATAATGATTCTCCTCCTTCATTAACGTTGATGGCTGAACTCTGAAGTTTCTAATTCCAGGCACGAAAAAGGCAGAGAAGAAAGTTTAATCAATCACAAATCACAATACTAAGCAATTACAAATCCGATGTTAAGGCTGGTACTGATATTCGCTCTTAAGATCTGCAATCTTCGAATACTAATAGCAAATTGATTCGATCATAGGAATCCCCACATTTTTGTAATGAAATTATGGCAGTGAAGAATTAAATTGCATTTTAATGTGGTAATTTATTTCTTTTATTTGAGCTTTGAAACAAGGATCAAATAAAACCATTGGAACTTTGTAATCTCAGTCATATTCTTTGTTTCTAATTTGAGGTGATGGCACAAGGGAACGGATCGGATCCTCTTCCGATGAAATTGACTCGTGAGGCTTGTAAATTGGATTAAACAAATATGTAATTATGGACACAATTGTTTGATTTACGCCATGATGATTCTCTATCACAAATGCTTATTTACAATTAGACAATAATTAGGAGAAATTAGCTGAAAAGCTGTAATTAACCTGTAAATAAATAAACAACAAAATGTTTCACCATATACCACATTTGAGGTTGGATCTTGAAAATAGGATCATTTTACCGCTAATAACTGCGACGCGACAATGAAATAAACAACTGAAAATTAAATTAGTTACTTGCGAAGTCAGCCTACGCGGGAATTTAAACTCCGACGAAAACTGGAACCGAATTCCAGTACCACTACAGTCACACACACACGTTCCTCCTTGTTAATATCTACCAACCAAATTAATTAACCAACCAAATTAATTAATTAACCAGTAACTAATTAACAAGAATTTCGTTCCCAACACATTTCCACGATAATCAAACTCTTGCTGTCGATTGGAAAGATAATTAGTGGGTAAGCGGCAATTAATTGGGATGATTACTTGGGGAATCATTATGCTGAGCTGGATCTTACGTTCAAGCGTGTGAGAGGATGGATGTGTAAGACGAAGTCCTTACTTAGGATTAATCAAAATGTCCGAGCCAAAAATTATAAAGGGGATTGAAAAATTTTGTGTTTTTTCCCCCAAGTTCATTAGTTTCGATGTTTACAACGTAATAAAGGGGATTGAAAAATGTAAGAAACAGAAATACGAGGATATTAATGATGGATGGCTGGCATTGACGACGATGGATGATACGGCGTGGAGTAATGGCGGACGATTGATGAGATTCTTTTGTCCATCCATCCATTGTCAGGCCGGTCGATCCATTAAATGGTGCCAAACCCAAAGTTTTATGTATGTTTTGGTTTGCATAAAAATTTGGTAATGTCTATGTTTTATTTAAATGTTTTTTAAATTTTATATTATCCAAACCTATTAAAATGTTATTATTAGCCAAATCTTTCATAACGCAATAAAATATTAACCATTTTTAAGATATCATTACTAATTTTGTAATTTTTTTTATCAGTTAAAATACTAAATTTTGTAATGTAGTGCCTCTTCCAAGTCAGTATCATTTTTTTGACAATCAACCAAGTCGGTATCATGTTACCAAGTCAATATTACTAATAAAATTGCTAACTAAAAGTTAACATTTGGCTAAGTTTTAGTATTTCGATAGGTTTGGATAATATAAAAGAATATGGAAAATGTTTGAATAAAAAATAGACATTACCCTAAAAACATTATAGTACAAACTGAACTCTTATATTCAAAGTTATGGTGTGAATTTTAGTTTGTAACGGTACCTATTTGTACATATTCATTTATCGTGTAAACCGAAGGTACGCATTTATGTTATGTTACAAACTGAATTTGTACCGTATCATAAAGATGAAAGTCCTTTATGATACAAACTAAATTTGTAGTCTTAACGTTATGGTACAAGTTCAATTTGTATCTCAAAGCACCAATACTTCAAACCATAGTGCAAGGTGTCCCAAACTTATATACGAGGCTAATCATCAATTTTAATTTTTAAATATATAAATTTGTGGATACACCAATGAACCAGTTGAGTTATCAGGTTGACAGTGCCGGATAATTCAATTGATTCAGCAACTTGTGGTGAATCAAAAATATTGATGCAAATGACTTTTGGCTTCTACGTTCACTTGATTTCGTTGTTACTTTGACATTTGAGAGTACATATTTGATTGTTTACCGTGAGACATGATAATTCTACGATAATTCTAGGATAAAAGTTTAAGATATCTTTAGTTTAGGCAAACCTTCCTAACCTTCTTAAACGTAAGCAGAGATCAAATATAGTTAACCTATTTTCCTTTCCTATTGACTTTACGGAACTAAATGACATAAGCTTAAAAAAAACATACTTTACTAAATTGGAAAATTCTCTCTCTCTAACCTCTCTCTCTGCCTTCTCTCGCGATCGCGAGGGCGGCCTCGTCGTCGGAATCTGCTCCGACGACGAGAAAGGTTTTGGGGGTGGTTCCTGGGCGCAATTGTTTGACATTGCTTCTGAGAATCGGATGAAGTATCGTCCGTCGGAGCGTGTCAATGACGGTTTTCGGATCCCTCGGGAGGTAAAGAAGAAGGGGGAAGAGCGTTGGAGAGATTGCTTAATTGGGCAATTCGTCGGCGCTCAACCCAAGGTGGCGCAGCTGCAAACCTGGGCTACTTCAATTTGGGGACGAGATGGGATAGTTCGGGTGTCCAGGTTTGGGCCTCGTCTGTTTGTTTTCCAGTTTCCTTCTGCATCTACGAGCAGGTGGGTTTTCAAATCGGGACCATAGCATTATCAGGGGAACCAGCTCTATCTAAGGAAGTGGGCGCCAGGGATTCAACCAGTAGCTCCTCAAGTAGAATCTCTTCCTATCTGGGTTAATATTTGGGGAAGTCCTCTGGAGTATCAGTTGCTGGATGGATTGGAATGGGTTGCTAGCACTGTAGGGCCTCCTCTCTGTATGGATAAAACCACAAGGGTGGGAGGCCAGTTGGGGTATGCCAAAGTGTGCGTTGATCTGGCTGCGGACTGTGGCTTTCCCTCTAAGATCCGTCTCTATCCTGATGATGATCCGGGTTTTGAGGTTGAAATTGAATATCTGAATCTGCCTAGGGTTTGTCCTATGTGTGCTGTTTATGGTCATGACTGTGATTTCCTGGCTAGAAGTAACAAGAAATGGGTGGTCAAGAAGAAAGATCCTATTCAGGAAGCTGTTGTGGAAAGCTCAGGGGAAGTGGTTGATGAAGCACCTGTGGTAGTTCCTGTGCAGCAAATTGAAGCTGAATCTGAAGTGAATCAGAATATAGTTCACTCTGTGGTTAGTTCAGTATTGGATGATAAGATACAGCAGGTGGAGGGTGGTGAAGGTGTAGGTGGTCATGAAGTCTCCTCTATTCCTCTACCAATTGGGAATGCAACTGTTAGGTTTGTGGATGTGGTGCTAGGATCATCAGTGGAAGCTAGGAGTCCTAGTTCCCTACCACAGCAGCCTGCTGCAACTAGTTCACCTGTTTCAGGGAAGCTAGTGTCTCAGACTCCTGCAGTTGTTAAAGAGAAAAACCCTTGGATAACTGTTGGTTCCAAAAAGAAGCCAACTACACCTCGAGTTGCAGAACCTGTTCATCCTTGCAATGGGGGGAGAGATGGAAAGAAAAAATGAAGATACTTACATGGAATATCCGGGGTTTTAATGACCCGGATAAGAATAAGGTTGTTCAACAGCTAGTCAATAGACATAATATAGATATTATAGTTATACTAGAGCCTAGAGTTAGAAGGAATAAAACAGATGATCTAATAAATAGAAGGTTTTATGGTTGGAAGTCAAAAGTTTCACATAATGATGCTGGTTTGGGGAAGTTATGGATTCTTTGGAAGGCTGATGTAAACCTTCAGGTGTTACATGCCTCAGAACAATTCATTCATGTCTTGGTTGGCTCAGGGGTCCCATTCTTTATGACTGTTATCTATGCATCCAATGAAGAAGCTGACAGAAGGGTTCTCTATTCAGATTTGGTTAAATACCAAGTTAGTTCTATCCAATGGGCTGTTCTAGGTGATTTTAATGCAATTGGGGATCCAAGTGAGGTTTCTAATAACCCTCAACCCTCTAGTAGCATGTCTGATTTCAGGCAATGGCAGTTTGATTGTGAGTTGGAAGAGCACAAGGCTTCAGGACCATGGTTCACATGGATAAACAAGCAACAAAGTAATCCTATAGCCAGGAGACTTGACAGAGTTTTTATTAATACAAAATGGATGACTGATTTGCCTATGAGCACAGTGGATCTTCTTGACCCCTCAGTATCAGACCACTGCCCTATTCTTCTTAATTCAGATTGTTCAGTGAAATCTCTGCCCAAAATGTTCAAGTTCTTTAAATTTTGGATTCAGCATCCTCAGTTTAAAGGCTTACTAAAGAAATTGAATAAGGATGTGTACTCTGATTTGAGTGAGTGAGTTAAATTGAAGGCTGCTGAGTTGCTTTTGGCTCAGGCTGAAGCACTTAATAATCCATCTCCTCTTACTTTTGAGGCTGAGATTCGAATTTCAAAGGAGGCAAAAGAGCTTAGAGAAGCTGAAGAGTCATTCTTTAGACAGAAATCAAGAGAGATTTGGTTGAAGGAGGGAGATGCTAACACTCCCTACTTTCATAACTCAGTCAAGACCAGACAGAAGAGAAACATGATCAGATCCCTTATTGATGAATCTGGTCACAGGGTTACTGATTTGGATGGTATGGCGAAAATTGCAGAGGGCTTTTACAGGAAGCTGTTGGGTGAAGAAGATAAGGAGGTTGTCTCACCTGAAGTTTATCAGATCAGGGATCTATTGATGAA